TATTGGATATCCGATGGATAAATGGATAAACGGATAATGGATTGGAACTCTAATACTGGTAACTTTATACATAGAGCTGAATTTTATAAACTTATCAGTCAGTTTGTTCAAATCTTTAGGCTGCTATGATTCTTTATCGAAGTAATTTTTTCAAAAAAATTGCCCGGTAAATTTATAAAGCTCAGTTCAATATATAAGGTTATCGATAAAATTTTTGAAAAAGAAAATTTCAATGAAAAGTTTTAGCGATTCGAAAGAATACTATATTTATGGCGCAGTATATCGAAATATATTAATTTATTGGTCAATCACGATCGAACCATTTCCCCGTGATTGTCGATTACATATTGTTGTGGTCTCCACAATCCAAAATCTCGTGTAACGTACGATAGGTAACCTTTACGAAAGAGGGTGTTAGGTTTGGCTGGTGGGTGATTAAGGCTTTCGGTTACTTTAGGTCAACGAAGGCAAGTAGGTAAGTCACGTGATTAAGAACTCGAATGAACAACGAAGTTTATGGATTTTACAGAGTTTATACTGGGTATAGTGTAGTGTAATTATTATCGATAATGTATGATATTGTGACTTGTTATTTAATAAAGCGAACGAAGCACTCCCGCTCCTAAGGGCTATTTCGGCCTTTATTTATATAATTAATTTTCGTCGCTCACATATGCGACTTTACACTTATTATTCCTAAAGATTACCTAATACTAATTACAATGATTTATTTAATATCTTTAACGATGTTTAATTTGTTTTTATTTCCTTCCCTTATTCCATATCTACCCCTCTGCATCCGAAATACCGCTTCCGATCACAAATGTAATTTACTGCACTTATTACATTTTCACGTGATCGGTCACGATATTCCGGTATCACAATATAAATTTATGGAACCATAAAATAATATTTACAATTTCAAACCAAAGCATACTTACCATCAAACTACAAATATTTCATCCAACTTAAAGTGTATTTAATGATAATAAGTCAGATTTTTTAATGAAATTTGGTGAAAAAAAAAGCATAATCAGTATAATAAAGAAATGTTGAAACACCAAAATGCCAGAAATATTGCCGGCACCTATAGACTATCGTTCCATCGTTGACATTAAGTTCTGACAAGCATACACTTCACCACAAAAAAGGGCACTTATACCCAAAATAACGCCCGGGAGTTATTTTGGATAGATTAATCGGAGGGTTTGCTATTTGCATATTATTGTGAAAACGCGTTGCGTTATGTGACATTAATAAAATTTGAACAAAGTTATTAGTCACATGGATAATAATGGCTTATATATCACGAATTGTGGCGTAAGCCAATCAAATTCAAGATCAGGTGTAACGTAGCACGATCAGGAAAACGTTCGTTTCACTTGTAACTCAAACATCTTTCCTTTATTATAAATAATTTAATGCGATTTGACTATACGTCATTCATTTTTGAGCCAAGAATTGCGAAATTTCTTATGTAGGATCTTTGCTAGGAAAATCACCCTTCGACATTTTCCGATAGGGCTAATTCGGATAAATTTAAACATATCGGTACTGATTTATTTTTTATCTTTATTGATTCATAAGATTATTCGATAAGCTATTGAATTAATAAAGACAAAAGAAGTCTTTCATGTAAATAAGAAACAATATATTTGTTGAAATTTGTCAGAATTAGCCCGATCGAAAAATGCGAAGAATGTTTTTCCTAACAAAGGTTTTAAAAAACTTGGCATTGATAATTGTTTTCTAAAAGAGGCAGATATGATCGATCACGCATGATTGATCATATGGTCAAACGAAAAAAAACTTCGATCAAACACCAACCATTTCTAAAATTAGATTTACTGTAAGTAATGTTGTAAGCTTAAATTATATTTTACGTAATAACTTACAATTTTTCGAAAGTGAACATATGAAAATTGTTTATAAGTTACAACAAATTTAAAATTTCAGTTTATACAACTCATCCTGCAAATGCTGTCGTTCATGGTATATCGATATTTAATTTAATTAATGTAAGTCATAGTCGATTTGTAGATATACAAATTGTTTCCATGCATTTTAGGAATTGATTGGTTTATTAATGTAAGATGTGAGATGACACGTTGAGAATATCTGCAAGAAAAATGAAATATAAAAATTATTCAATTGATTCTCCATAAATGCACCCTCTATAAGTTCGCTTCCCCGCAATTTTCCTTTTTTAAGTGCACAACTAATGTAGTTCATGTATTATATGAGTTAAGATTGAGTTACTCATCATAAATGTTCGCTTATGGATGATCAAAATGTATGAAATACTTACTTTAGATGCTTTTAAAATGCTTTTTTATTTGATTTACAGCATTCTAATAACACATGGCATCACAATATAATCTGATTTGCATGGATTCACAAATTTGGGGGAATGTCTAAGGTCGCGAGTAACATACTATAAACAGGATGATCATAAATTTAAACAATTCCGAAATTGGCAAACAGTAGATTATTTAAAATAGTTAATGTTAGGCTAAAATTATTAAATGTATTATCTAAAATTGTAAATTTCCAAAATTTTTACAATCGGAATTAACGGATGAATAAAGAAGCTTGAGGCCAGAATACATCATAATACTTTATTTCCAGATATAGGAAAAAAAGACAAATCGTATAATATCGTTATTTTAACTAAACAATCATATTTAGGTAACAAATTGTTGACTTTATTTACCGTTACATACTTGTAATCCATTTATGAAAATTACAATTACCATATTAAGGTAAAATAATAAATATTCATATAAAATCATTTTATAACCTATAAAATTTCGGACGAACAAAGATCTGGAGAATTTATTATAGAAGAAAGTACATAATTTGACTTGCACAAATTATAAAATTACAAAGATAAATATGCATCATTTCCGAATCGTCAACTAAACTTTATTAGAATGAAAATTTTATAGAAATGATTAACTTACTAAGTAAACCATAAAAAACTTTAAAAAACTTTTAATAAAGAATATTACTTACTAATTAACGCCAACTTATCACTTAAACGAACAATAACACAACAGCATATGTATTGCAAACTTTCAATAAACAATTCAATAAACCCTAAGATGGTCTTATGGGTTACTTAATTGTTTGATTTCGTTGTGCATTGTTCTTTACAGTTAAAAAATATTTTGTTACACTTGTTTTGGAGGGAATTACGTAATAAGCGCCCATATTAAAATATTATTTTAACGTTAATAAATCCTCTTTTATGAGTTTTCATCCTCTCTATCCAGTCTATTTACTCTATTCAATTCTTTTTTTTTTCATTTCATCTTTAACGAGCATAAAATCAATTTCCTTTGTTTGATAACTGTTTTATAACTGTTACATCATTCATTTATCCAATCATCAATTTATTATTATTTGTTTATTAGACAGTTTATTTATAATAAAGACAAAAAAGCATTCATGGGTAACTTTCAAAGTGTAAAGAAATCATTGATCAGATTTAAAAGAAAAACCTCTAGACCTTCTAGTGAAAAAACCAAATTTAATACTTCAGAAACGACTACATCAGAAATAGAACATTTAAATCGTCAATCTGATGCAACATTTTATTATATAGATGGAAGAAGATATTTAGATAATTCATCTTATTCATTACCTAATGATGATGAAGAAATTGATAGATTACAATTACAACATTATTTAGCAAGATATATTTTACAGTCGAATTTTTGTGCACCTGTTAATAATAAATTAAAGAGTGGTACCAGAGTTTTAGATGTTGGGTAATTTTTTTTTTTAGATTTAATAACGTTCTTTACAATTTTTTTTTCAATAAAATAATATAATAAAGAGGAAATAAATTAATTTTTTTTTTTTTTATTATCAAAATTTCTAATAGATGTGGACCAGGAACATTTACCTTGGAAATGGCATACGATTATCCCAATTCACATTTCATAGGAATTGATATAAATCCAATGTTTCCAAAAGAGATTAAACCAAGAAATGTTGAATTTGAAGAAGCGGATGTTTTAGAGGATTTACCCTATGCTGATGAATCATTTGATTTTATAGTAATAAGGAATATGATAACTTCCTTTACAGTACATGATTGGGAAAGTAGAATATGGAAAGAATTGATTAGAGTACTTAAACCTGGAGGTTATATTGAGGTTTGTTTATACATTATCTAATACATGATTTTTAATACTTTTATATTTATTAAATTTTTATTAAATTTTTTTGTTATTATATTCATGAATTTAGAGTACGGAATTCGAGATTCCAGCAATAAACAGAGGTCCAGTAACTTATAGAATGAGTGAAGGATGTAAGTTAAATCAACTTTAAAAATTAACTTCAATAAATATTAATATATTGATTTTAAAAAATTAACTGACTAAAAATATACATTTTTTAACAATCAGGGATCGCACTAATGAAGGCAAAAAATATTGATTTAACAATAACAACACGTTTAGAGGAAATATATAAATCAACAATATTGAAAAATATTGAACATAAATCAAAAATGATTCCGGTTGGTACTTGGGGTGATCGTATTGGTAAAATTATGGCTGATGATTTTATAATGTTAGCAAAAGCGATGTGCCCAGTTATAAGACCACTTTGGGGTATAACTCAAGAACAATTTAATGAATTTACGGAAATTTTTGCAGAAGAATTAAATGTGTATAAAACTTATTGTAATATTCATGTAGTGTTTGGTCAAAAACCTGATAACACTTGATGTGTGGGGATTTAAGACATTCTTATATATATATATATTTATTGATGTATTGATATCAAATACAACTCAAGTACATATGTTTATTATAAATAAAAGCATCAATTTTACATCGAGTTTATTCTTAAAATTAATTAAGAATAGACATGTTTGATTTAAGTAAATAAAAATAATTTTAATTCGTTCAAATTCGTTCAAATTCTTAAAAGCTACTATAAATATTCAAATAATTCAGGTAAATGAAAGAACCCTAGGCTTTCATTTACAAATTTTGACCGAACAACCATCTATTAAAGAAATCTAAACTTGGACGTGGTTGATCATAAGGTACCATATGTCCAGCTTCAAAAATTCTCAAGAATGTAAATCCTTTATAAGTTCTAACATCACCAGCATGTTCTCCAGTGTCTGATGTTACCCAACGAGTAACTTTGGCATTGTTAAAACCTTCTGCACCAGTCCATTGAAGTTCTTTTACCCATGCTTCGTTACCTGATTTTAATAATTGTTTAATATATTTAGAATTATGTGATATCAAATTACGTAATATAAATTTGATAGAAAATTATGTAATATAAATTTTGTAATAATTGCTTACCAATCCAATTGCAAATGAAATCTGCATCGCCTATAAATAATAATTTTGATAATAATAATTTCAATAATAAGTTCAATCATAATAATTTCAATAATCATAACGGTAAAATAAATTGAATGAAAGTTTTTTTTTGAATAAATTACCTGCGTATACCAATACTCGAATATTGTTTTCCAAAAGCGGTGGAATCAATAAGTGATAAGGTCGCATCCTAGATTAAACATGTTAAATTTTTGTTAAATTTTTGTTAAATTTTCGTTAAATCTTTGTTAAATATTTGTTAAATTTTCGGTAAATTTTCGGTAAATTTTCGGCAAACCTTTTTTTTTTCATAAAAGTAATTTTTAGAGATTACATACCAATCACCGGCAAGTTGGAATTTGAAATTAATTTCCATGTTACAACTTTTATATTCCACCGAACGATCAACACCCAATTCAGCTTTAACAACTCCAAGATTAGAAAATTTCTCGATGGCTTTTAAAATTGGATAACATAAACCACCACCTTCACAATCTTTTCTTACGTCATAAACATTTTTACCAGTTTGTTGATAAGGTTGAATCATTTCTCTATTACAATACATTGAAGCAGGTAAACAAGAAAATGAATTTGAAGAATCATAACATCTTTGAATCATTGAAGCACATTGAGGATAAGCATTTCTCATTCTATCACAAGTGGATTCTTCTAATACAGGCTTATAAGAAGAGTTACAAGCCATATCAGCATAATATTTGTATTGTACTAGAGGATCTACTAGACCATTTCCAATCAAGATGGATTCAAGATTGACGTGTTTAAGATCTTTTGGTTGATTTGCAAGAATCCATGAAGAAGTTCCTTTATTATTATTGTTAATTTCTGCAGCTATGGCTGGTATATAATGACCAGCATATCTATTAAATTTATTCGAGTTATTTTTAAAATGATTTATAATAAGATTGTCAATAAATAATATTTAGACAATAATACTTACGATTCACCAGCAATATGGAAATCCAAATTGGCATATTGAGGAAATTCTTTGAAAAAGATTTGTAAAAACGCGTATACGTCAGTGGCAGCAGCCAACGAGTTGGACACACCATCACCATAAGAATATCCAACATTAATTGGCTACAATGATTTATGTTATTAAAAATATTATTATTAATTAATAATATTCAAAAACGTAAAGACATCTATATGCTAAGTTTTAATTCATACTTGATCCAAGAAAATAACACTAGCATTGCTATTCCATGAGTAATCATTAAAAATAGTATCAGTTCCCTCTTCGTTAACTGCGCAAGGACCAAGCTCAAAGTATAAACCCGTTAAGGAAGAACATCTAGATGTATTATTATGAAAGCATTTAACAGCATTTAACATTAGTTAATGTTAACATTAATATCAATCGACTATAATATTAACATCAATCGATTATAACATTAATATCAATCAATTATAACATTAATATCAATCGACTATAACATCGACTATGACATTAACATCAATCGACTATAACATTAATATCAATCGATTATAACATTAATAAATATTATCATACCCGGGGCCACCATTAAGCTATTTTAAATCAATATAGAAGTAATATTGTATAAATGTACAAGTTTAAATATGATAAATTATCAAGTTATTATAATTATATATATATTACATACCCAAAGAACTATTGGATCTTTCGTAGGATTACTTCTCGATTCAAAGAACCAAAAGAAAAAATGTTTTTTGGTACCAGCATCAAGATATCCAGAATACTAAGATCAAAACCAATTTAAGTCTTTTTTTTTCAAAAATTTCATCAAATTTTTTGAATAGATAAATTATATTAAGTTTAAAAACCTGTTTAACAGTTTCATCACACATATGTGGTTCTTTCAATTTAATTTTATAATCAGGGAAATCTTGATGAGTTAATATATTTGCCCATTTATTATTAGGATTAATGTTAATTGTCAATTGATTAGCTTCGAACATATCATCAAGATCATCGCTGGACCATCTCCACCTGTTAATAAAAATTTCTCGTTGATTCAAAAGTTGAGAAGAAGCAAGGTGACATAATAATACAAATACACCGGTAGCAAGGAATATAGCTCCGAGCTTGGAGCGCGTTGAAGAAGCCATATTAAAAATTTTTTTTTGTTTTAAAGAACTTTTTTTTTGATTTCAATTTATCGTTATTTAAAAAAAAAAGAATGTACAATAGGTACGATGTACAATTCTTTTTTTTAATAAGAAAAAAAAAAGAAAGGATTTAATAAAATTCACGCGAAATACCGATTCTTATTTATATCACGGCGTTTCGGAATAGAAAATGGCGTAATGGTACTACATCATTTTTCATTAGTTCGGAATATACTTATTTTTTAATACTACATAATATGAATACTGATAGTGTTACAATAAGTTTCATGCACAAAAACCTTAAAGTATAACAAATTTGATCATAGGACATAAATCCAATAGTACTTACACGATAGTTTTTTTTTTGATGTTTTTTTGATAAATAACGATAATTCAGATAATTCAGATAATTCAGATAATTCAGATTGATCTAGAAACATTTTATCTATCGCTATATCAAGAAATACTAAAAAGTATCTACTGTTGGTCATTACTTAATGTTATAGTATTCAACCAATGAGATTACTGGATTCATGAATACGTAGTACCAGTATCTATTCAAAAAGAATAAGACCAGGTACTGTAAGCAGTGACTAACAGCAAACATAACCTTAATGCTCAAAATATTCATCCAACATTGATACGTATCTGGCATTGATAATGCTATTATTAGAATTTTAAACGCCGCGCACATACATGTATATACATGTATATGTAGATACGTACATAACATAACATATAAGTACGCACCGTACCGTACGTACAATGAAAAATAAGATTATAGTAATTAAAATCAGACAAATAAACGATATCGATATCGATAAGGAGTGCATGTGCCAGAAATTTTTATGGTAAAACATAACGATATTTATTTATTTTGACATGACATAACTTGATATTAGCGTTGAAATAAATCTTTGACGTATGTCAAAATATATTTTTGATATATATTACTAATTTTAATAATTCATATATATATATTACTAATTTTAATAATTTATATATATATATTTTCTCTCGCATGATAAACAGATAATGATAGATCAGGTCAGGTGTTATATTTCATAATGACGCGCTTCATCAGTAATGAATATAACATGTTTTCGGTTAGTTAGCGCATTTATAAATATAGATGTACGTAATTGATTCTACCATTTAATTCTATATATATAATTAATTCTTCAATTAATTTTTTTTTTTTAATTACTTAGAAAACTTAAACCTTGTTCAAACCATTGAGAAAAAAAAAAATGTTAAAGATATTCACTAAAAAGTTTATTTTACTTTTTAATGGTATATTATCAATGCTTATAGTATGGATCTCAAACTTTGTCGTCAAAGTTTATATCACTTCTGATATTCATACACAATTATTGGTCATAAATTTCATACTTGGAACATTATTTCTTTTAACTTTTATTATTTCCGATTTCGATGAAAATTATACATTTAATCGACATTTGATAATAAAATTAATATCTTGTTTATTGTTTTATACTGGTGGTTATACTTCCGTAATTATTACGCGTTATAGTGGTTTTCATTTTTCATTATTATTCAACTTTATGAAAATTGATTGGTATATTGGATGGTATGAGATTATTATCATTATAATATTTATGATTTGGATCTTACTTGACGTATCTTTTGAATATGAAGAAAAATTTGACATGTAAGTATATTTCATTTTATTTTGTCCTTGAAAATTTATTTTTTATTAATATTTTTAATAATTAAGAAGAAGGATAATAATAATAATAATAATAATAATAATAATAATAATAATAATAATAATAAATAATAATAATAATAACAATAATAATAATAATAACAATAATAATAATAAATAATAATAAATAATAATAATAATGAATAGTGATCAAGAAAGAATTCAAAGTTTCTCGGAATCAATTAATCACCATCATCATCATCATCATCATCATCATCATCACTTATTACCTCAAGCTTTTAATGTTCATAATACATCGCCGAGGGTTCCCATCGCTTCTTTGGTTAAGCGTAAAATTGTTCGAATACGTGTTGAATCTCGAGCAAAGTTTCTTGGTCGTAAGATAGGTAACCATTTTGAAATATATATATATATGATTTTATATTAATTCTAACATAATTAACATGTAAACATGTTTGTACAACTTTTTTCACAAGAACTTTCAAATTTCGAATTAAGTCAGCCTACCTTTAGTTCAAGATTTAATCAAGATCGACAAATAATACAAGTTAATACATTAGGTAACATTGATATAAATTCTAAAGAATTTATCAATGTAATTAACACAACAAACAATCAAGAAAATCGAATTATTTCATCGGTAAACCTTTGTTTTTTATTCAATTAAATTTAATTATTTTAAATAAAAAATTAAAAAATGATGTTTCTTAAATATTATAGGCTGAATTCGTTCGTGATGTACCTCTAGATCAATATCAATTAAATTTATTCAGATTTCGACACAGAAAGATTCGAAAGGATAGTATAATCGGTGTAAATTAAAACTATTGTTGTTTTTAAAAAAAATAGAGAGAGAAATTAATTGTGTATAAACAGATGAAAATTTATGATACTGTAATGTAAGAACACAGCTTCATCATTACGAAATTTGATAAAAGAACATATAACTGTAATTGCATAATTACGAATCAATTTGACAAATACAAATTGAGAGCATAATCAAAAATGTTGAATAATATGGGTGAAAACCAGAACTTTTAAAAATAGGATTCTTTAAACAACAGGATACGTGATTGAAAACCAGTATAATTTATTATTCTAGTCAGACCAGTTAAAAACCCGTATTCCGTTATGTAAAGAAGTTTTCACTAGCGCTATGAATGTTAAACTGGTTAAATTTAATATACAAACTAACTAGTTAAACCCGCTAGTCACGTATATATTGTATTGTAAGATTCAAGTTGTCAGACTATTTAACATTTTAATACGCAGTTTAATTGTTAATAATATTGTTCTTTTTTTTTGCAAAAATGGAATGGTATAACGATAAGGATTTTGCGCACATGAATTTAAATTTGGGTAGTTACACAATGTCCAAGATTTACGAGTAAATTCGAATACGTAGAAGAAAGAATACAAATGATTGTTCAAAGGTAAGGTAATAAACTGTTATTTCTTACTAATGAAGCCTATTCAATAGTGGTTCTCTACTATTGAATAAACATCATGTATTGTGATTAATTAACACTAATCGGAGAAGTACTTCTTATTTTGTCATATAAGTCTCTAGATTTATTCCTTAAAAAGTTTAGCATCGCCAAGACTACTTTGGATTATCAGAATCGGATTTTTAGATTAACCCATATGGACTTTCAATTTTTCCTTTTTTGCGTCTATGAGATAATCAATCTGTTCTTATTGTATGTACGTACCAATTTTATGATCCTAGATAAACCCTCTATAGTAGTTTTGTGATTTATGTTAAGGAATAACATAACGATAAATATTTATTTTTAAGATTTCATTAAGTTTTCTAGAACCAGTTCATTTCTTCTAATAATATTAGATTTTGTGAAGTATTCTACTAATAATATTAGATTTTGTGAAGTATTTGTTTCTTTGAATTTTTTTCCTGCGGTTAGAAAATAAGCCATAACGATTTAATATTTATATGAAATGAAGCTATAAAGTTCAGAAATAAAAAGGTTTATTACGTACGTATACGTATCGATCAAAATAACTTGTGTAAAATCCCAATTATATAGAGTTTTGAACCGATTATATTTTTTAAACCGTTTAAAACCGTGTTTAACATATGAAAATTAAACCGGTTTCAAACTCTATCAGATATTTGATATCGTTGGAATATAATATCGTTATTCTTAATGAAGGAACTTCGGGGAATGATCCGGCCTTTGCAAAAGTGACATTCATTTTGAATACTATCAAATAATTACGGAATGTCACGCTTGCGAATGTTCCGGGCTCAGAAATTTGATAGTCAACTCTACAAATTCATTACCTGTAAATAATCGTTATTAAATGGATATGAAACATGATATAGAACATGATATACGTAGAACACGATATGGGACGTGACACTATATATCAGGTTTCGAATTTAAGTTTGATACAATACAGTCAATCCTTCTCTATAAACGTATATCAAATATAATTTCTCTTTGCTACCGCTACGTAATGATACGTAATGTGTAATTTTTAATTAATTCACGAATACGTAGGACAATCTTAACTGTCACCGGACGTGAAATTTACCGAGTATGCTATTTCTTTTAGTAATCGATATTTGACATGTTAAGTTAAATTAATCTCATTTGTTCATTCGTATTGGCATCCTATAAAATAAATTTTTTTTTTAAAAAAAAAAAAGTTTATACCACTTTTACTATGTTTTTTTTAAACATAGCTTCAATTTTACTGTAATTTCGGTACATCCCGTGAATATAGTATAATATTATTACATATCGATACTGACCATACATTTTTATTACATGTTCGATAATCATATGACGACGTATACTGTAAATATTTAAACAATTTGATAATTGAATTTTATTCATTCCTTTATAACCATATATTTTACAGTTAATATAATTTAAAGAAATTGTTAATACGGATTTATCCTTGAGAAAGAACCAATCTAAAATCATTTTCTAACTAACCAATTATTAAATGTTTTTTTATTAAGTTTTTTTTAAAAAAGGTAATTATCATCTGTTTTTTTTTAAGTTAATTTTGTTTTAAATAAAAATCTTTTTTGTATCAAGATTTATCTTTTTGCTGTCGACTGGTCTAGACAGAAAATAATTCAATGCATAACTCTTTTTTTTTTTTAACCATACAAGATCTGTACAAGGTTAAAGTTTTATTGTTGGGAATACGAATCACGGCATGTTTTATTTATGGACAAGAGATTTTCATCTTAACACATCGAGATTCTCGCAGTTGCATATTTAAAAAAAAAAATTTATACGTATCAATATAATTTAAAAATTTAACGTTTAACCAAACAATTTTTTTTTTGTGGTTTGATAAAAATATACATTGATAATGAACTTATCTATCTTAATACATATACGTCACACTTGAAACATATTTAATGTTATTCTATTTTCTATTTTTAGTAATAGAGTACGTACAAGAAATACAATTTAATTTCAGTAATACGTAATAAATGATAATAAATAATTTATTATCCACTTTATAAATTCTAACCTTGCTCTGCTATATAGTCGTCAAGTACTCGCATAGATGTAATTAAGATGTAACCTTAAGATACAACTTAATATGTAACATAAATTAAAGACGTAAGTTAAAGATGTAAGTTAAAGATGTAAGTTAAAGATGTAAGTTAAAAATGTAACTTAAAAGTGTAAATTAAAGATGTAACTCAAAGTCAAAAGAGGCGATCCTAAGACGAATGTGACATTATTTTACTTCATTTTTAAGAGAGAAATCCAATTGGCGGGTTGAATGTAGTGAACATTTTTAATGTCTGTACTATATACATACGACAAGTAAGATTACATTTTTTACAAGGTTATTTGTACAGGACATATGCATAAATGCTACAAAACTTTGTCATTGTTGTTTTGATTTCACAGCTTGTTAAGCGTTGTGCAAGAATTGCCACATGGTGCCGCCTTTCTGAATTCTAATGCAAGGTAGTAATGATCTACTGTAAACAATGTATCTGTTTCGAGAGCATTACCATTTCAACAAGTGTACTCTACTATACAAAGTTAACTATATTTATCGTTATGTGCAGATGGCCACACAAGTAAAAACATGTGGTTATTTACACTAAAACTTGGTTTATTGAAGCATTCCGTTATCGGCTTTGAAATGTCATTGGTGTCCGGAAAGCTCTCTTTTACTATATTCTACTTTATAACAAGAACTACAAGAACTGGTTCGTTTTTCAAAAAAAATCAAGTAATTGGGTAAGAAATAGATGATCTGTTTTGTTTTTATCAAAGTCTTTATTAAAAAAAAAGCGTAACTGTACGTACGTACACAACTGTTAATATATCAGATATGATAGTCAATTGTATTTTTAAATCATATGATATTAAAATCAATGCAAATCATGAGGTCTGTGTAATTGTTTCTTATCAAGGTTCGTGTAAATGTAAAATTATAAATCCATTTGATTTTACCTATTTTACTCGAACATAAAGATATTATGATCTTATCTCTTTTTAAATTTTTCAATTTCTATAAACTTTAAAAAAAAAAAAAATTCCGTTTTTTTTTTTTTTTTTTATTATATAAATAACTTTTTTTTTTTATAAATTTTTGAAAATTAGAATTATTAATTAATATACAATATATTTTTTTAAAAAAAAATGATGATTTCAAGTTTACCAAACGAATTATTATTAAAAGTGTTTAAGAGTATACGCGATCAAAATAAGTAAATAATCTTTTTATTTTTACTTTTTTTTTTATAAATAATGCATTTCAATGAATTCATTTCTGGTAAGCTTAATAATTTACGATACCTTTTTTTCAACAGTTATAAACATTTGTGGAAAATTAGAAGAACTTGTAAACGATGGCATGAACTTATCCCTGTAGCAATAAGTGACGATCTTTCAAATCGATTTAGTTTAGAGGTAAGATAAAAATCTATCATAATGTTTCTTTTTTTTTTTTATACATTATAATCTTATTTACTGTTATTGTTTTATTATTATACTATATTCCATATATTATTTTATTTATTATACTATATATTATTATTGTTATATTATATTTCATATATTATTATATTCATTATATTAAACAATATGAACATATTGAATTAAATAGGTTCGAATAGAATTCTCGCAAATACCAATACCAATACCAGTTTACTTTACGTTAAAGTTAGAATCATTTTCGAATATTAGTACATTTACTTTTCATAAATCAAACGAAATTCCAATATTACCAGCTTCAGAACAAGATTTGCCTGATGATTCATTACCTTTTTCAATTACAAATTCCAATTTAACCACTACTACTACTAATACCACTACATCAAGTACAACTATTAATTTAACCACATTAACAAATGTTGGTGAAACTAATTGCATAATTCATATAGATTTTATGAAAAAAGATTCCAAATCTTCTTCTTTGGGATGGAAAACAAAAGGTCATATTCCTATAATGTTAACTCCACATGATGATTGTAAAATTATCAAAGAAGCAAAATTTTGTAAAGGAATGATGTTGGGTTATAGATTATTTCCGTATGCCAAAAAATTATCTGAAGATATTTATCAATTACCGAATATTCATACTCATTCTTGTGGTGAATTAACTTATGAAGGTGGAAATGAAAAAAGTGTAGAAGGAAATGGAAATGGTACGCAAAAAGTAAAATTTAGAGATGGAAATGGTACGCAGAAAGTAAAATTTATAGATGGAAATGGTAATGAGGAAATTTATTTGGAAAATGATGATGATGATTTAATTTATAATAGACATAATTATAACGATGGTTATAATGAATATATCAATAATTCTAATCAAAATATTAATGATGATTTTGATAATATATCACAATACTCATTATCTGATAATGAAGACGTACCACAAACGCCAGGAAGCGTATCATATCCGATAAATTTAATAAATCATAATAGAAATGATGACGAAATTTTGGAATCTCCTAGTTCAAATCCTACAACTTGTAATGAAATTGAATTCATTTATTTAACAACTCCAAAAGAATCTCTATTGGAATTGATGGATTCTTTGGATCGTCTTGCTGGTTAGTTTACTTTTTTCATTTCTTTTAGGTAATTCTTCTAGGTAATTAATAAAAAAGTTTACGAACTGATTTTAATTACTTGATTTTTTTTTTTTTTTTATGTAGACAATGAAATCCGAAGTGGTTCATCACCTGGTTTTGGAATTGACAATACTTTAAAAGGTGTATTTTATAAAATTATAAAGGTAGAAGATAAAGTTGGATTTGAGTACAAACGCCGATCTACTGTTGAGTAAATATAATTAAGATATTTTTTAAGATATTATAGATTTTGTTTTTTTTTTTTTTGTGTAAAGTTTAAACGATTTTGAAGAATCATGCTAAAATATTATGATATAAATACCTGTTATATTAATAGCATATATATATATATTTATTTATTTATTGATGAAATATTTTCTTGTAGAAACATAATTTACTATTATGTTTAAACCAATTTGGCTTTTTTATTATATAAAATTTTTTTTTCTTTCAATTTCTAATAGAAAGATACAACTTATCAACAAGATCTTTTAACTATGTAGACATTGTACGACAAAAATGTTACGTACTAAATCGAATGATAATTTCCTTTTTTTTTCAAGATTAATCAATAATTTGAAACATGGTAATATTAAACTAAATTAGACGAAAGTTCAAAATAATTATTTTTAATACTGACTGTGTTACCATTGAAAAACCAATTAAAACTAAATGTATTAAAAACGAAGTTTACTACAACGATAACTAACCGTTATATTGAATGTAAGCAAACAATGCTACTAAAAATGAAATTCCGGATGTTATTAAATTTGGAATAAGCAAACTGTTTATCACGGATCCTGATGTATAAGTTGTTGCTGAAAAAGAATAAAAGATTATCAGTATTATTATCATTATTATTATTTTGTTTACAAAATAGACGTTGACAACGAAAAGAAAAGAAAGGGAAGGGAAAGAACTACACGCCATGTGCTACAACCCCTGCCCTCAGATCACGAGACGAAAAGCATGGGTCGAATGAATGAATCAATCAATGCAACCAAAGATACGCCATCGACTACGATCGATATATAAAATAGCCGATAACAAGCGACTTTCGACACACTCTCCCATTTCGACAAAATAGTCTTTCCCGCCACACATTTTAGTCTGTCATTTTCCTTCTCGCTCGTTCTACTATTACGATGATATTGCTAATTTTCTTGGAGCATATCATCGTTTCAGTTCGGTTTACTTGGCTAAAATTATTCGTAATATATTCTGCGGATTTCATGTCTTTTAATTGAATCTATTTCCGGCACCTTTGGCTAGACGGCATTCATCCAACTACGTGACCAGTTGTACCGATGCTCTTCGTTTCGGACATGAACACGAGCAGAAAACGAATACAAACACGAACTCAAAAACGAACACAAACACGAACACAAGCACAAACACACACAAAAAGCGAACACAAAAGCGAATACAAAAACGAATACAAAAAGCGAATACAAAAACGAATACAAAAACGAATACGACAAATAATAATAAATAAACCTTATGATTATAAAAAATATTAAAATTCTTACGTGGTTTAGGTTGATACATAAAGAAGGAAAATTTGGTGAGAGCGACAGGTCTTTGAATTGTAAAATTATAATCCGATCCGTTAAAAATATTTAACGTATATGGACCTTCAACTAGAGTAGGATTAATGATCGTCGAAGTGACCCATGTTACAGTGGTAGTACTTGTCGACAAGTTTGAACTAATTGTCCAATTTATATATGTACTGTAATTATATACGGCAACTGCTACCAAATATTGTGTTAAAAAATCAAATTGTCCTGAATATTTCCAATTAAATGTAACATTGTACCCTATTTTTCCATAAAATGGAATTGAATCTGTAAAGATAAATATTGGTCTTGAAGAAACATCTGGAATTGGTGTAGATACTGGAACTGATGCTTGAGTTGGATTTGATGCTAGAGCTGATGCTTGAGTTGGATTTAATGCTGGATTTGAGATGGCCGGTTGTGAGATTTGTGGTTGAGGAGCTTGTGGGTCTGTACAAGATAAAATATATATAAATAATATGTCGATATTAATGGAAATATATATATGTTAAATTTTATTATTCGTTCTAATAATTAACGAATAAAATTTTAACCTTTAAAACTTTCATTAACCTACGTACATCTTTTTCTTAATATTTCATTTGCAACCACTACATTTTTACATAATGTTACTATGATCAAAAAAATTAAAAAAATGGTCGTCCAGTTTATTGCTTTTTTACGCATTATATACATCGTTTACTTTGTCAAACTTATTCATAAAGTCTAAGCGATGAATAATATTACAAGAATTGAAGTCCATGAACCAATATGAATAAGTTTAAAATTGTCGGCTTAAAATACCTAAAATATTATTTGAATGCACACGTGAGGTATAAATAACTAAATTTTTTATTCTACTTTAATAAAAAGTAATAAAAAGGATGTTTATCATAATTTACCTTTTAAAAATATATATATAATTTTGGGTGAACACTCCAAGTCAAGTCAACTGGTTAAGTCAACTGGTTGATACATCAATAATTATTATAAATTTGTACTTTTTTCTAATGCTGATACCTAACGAAACAATTTAGCAAGTACGTATGTATCATTTATTTTTAGAATTGTCACGTAAGGCATGTACATCAATCTTTATAAATTAGTACAGTAATAGGAAAATTTTATGAACTTCGTATACTGCTTAAATGGAAATTCAATTTTGAGTTTGATATAACGATAAAAATTACTATATTTGATATTATATTCAATACATTCTAGTACGTATCAGTCAGTACCTACGTATGTACAGTATGTACGTACGTACACACCTGTGAAAGTAGCGCCCAATTTTTTTATAAGTAAAACAATCAGATGTTACTTTTGCGGGTGATCGTATGTATGTGCTACGTATATTAATACCAAGATATTAATAAAAAACATATTTTCTTATCCTAACTATATACGTATAAGTAGATTATATATAAAGTTTAGAAATAAAAAAAATTCAAATTCGTGATTTATTGATTTTAGCTTGGTTCTTAAAATATTAAATATAAATCTTTTTATCTTTTAGATATTAAACTTTTAAGAAACTATAATCAAAATAACCAAAGTAAGTATTAACTACTTTACAAGTTATTTTAATTTGCAATACGTACGTATTAAAGTTATTAATTGGTCTTTTAAAATTTAATTACAATGCTTACAATTTTAACTAACCATCTGAACCATCTTGTTTGGATCATGCGTTTCAAAGTCTATTTTTAAATTTTGCCGAAGGGTGAATTTCTCCATATAAGGTTAAAGCTTCATGCATAGCTAAAAAAAAAAATCTTTTTATTGGATCATATAGCGTTAACATGATTTTTTTTTTTTTATAAGCATTGCTAGAAATTTTTTGTGCACAAATTTCTGTTTTTCATTCATGATTGGAGGTGTATCCCAATGAACCGTACGACACTCAACAAGTTATAGTTACAACCGTATGAATCCCAATTGTTGTCAGTATTTGTATTTAATTAATCAATTTTACAATCAATAATTACACGAGAACGTCAAATGTCACGTGATAGTATGTTTTTGCAGGCCTGCAAGACAGTATAAGGGTTAATCGACATTTTCCTGGACCAGTTCTCATATACGTATGAAATATATGTAATAATATTAATCAATGATCAATAGTTTATAAATTGAGTTACAGCAAGCTTCGACATATAAAATTGAATTACGGCACGTCGTAACTTAAAGCAAAAAGTTATACCTAGTTATAACTCAGTTACATCACGGCAAATCCTAATGCTTTAAGTTCCGCTAGGGTGATCATCAAACTAATAAAATCAAATCATAAGTAACGTAATATGTACTAATTACTATTTGAAAATTTTTTATGAAATTTTAAATTTATTGTGAATAATACGTAGTAACTTTCAGTACAGTTTTATTTTAAATTAATATAATAATTGTTAAATTTTTAGTAAAAGATATATTAACTTGTTTAGAATAATATAATAATGACATTTTTGATTTATTTCATTTACAAGTAATCAGTTTTTCAATGAAGCAAATAATCTTTACCTAAAAGTAACAACAATAAATTGTAAATCAAGATTATTAAAAAGAGAAAAATAAAAGTTACAAATTAAAAAAAAATAATATAAAAATTTTATATTCTTAACTAAAAAACTGTATTTTTGTAATATATATTTAAAAATTATTATTATTCTAATTTTATCTTTAATTAAAATAATGTCACAAAACAAATCAATTTTTAAACAATAACATTTGAAACATATATATAATTAACAACAGTTTTTAAATAAAAAAAGTCCAAAATATTATTAAAATAATTATAAAAATATAAGTAATAAAAATCATAATAATATTATTTTATTTAACTTAATAAATATATCTATAATATTAATAAACTCATATTGATTAAATATTTATAATAACTATATAAATATAATTATAATAATAATAAATAATATATTTACTATATTAATAAACATAAAACAATCAAATATAAAAATTAATCTTAAACAACAAAAAATTAATAAAATTTTAAAATATATAATCAATTTATTATATTTAATTTTAATAAAGTTTATAAATATAATTAAAAAACTTATACAAAACTAATTTTATAAATTACAATATTTATAAATATAGAATATATATATAATTAAATATAATAATAGTTATAAATAATATAAATCTTGAAATATTTTTATTAAAATTTATAAAATATAATAAACATATAGCACAACTCTTTTTGACAATCCCTCATACCAACTTTTTACCAAAAGTCTGATCTACGAAAACTATATAGTTATTATATTTAAATATAACAAAATTCTACTTTGGATAACTAGGAAGGCTATTCACTGCATGTTTGGTTGTAACTAAAAAGAGTTGAAAAAGATTCGAACCCTTGTA